AAGGCTGAGAGGAGATATGATAGCCATGTATAAATATGTGAGAGGAAGCCACAGGGAGGAGGGAGCAAGCTTGTTTTCTGCTTCCTTGGAGACTAGGACGCAATGGAACAATGGCTTCAAACTACAAGAGAGGAGATTCCATCTGAACATAAGGAAGAACCTCCTGACCGTGAGAGCCATTCAGCAGTGGAACTGTCTGCCCTGAAGTGTGGTGGAGGCTTCTTTTTTGGAAGCTTTTAAACAGAGGCTGGGTGGCCATCTGTCAGGGGTGATTTGAATGCAATATTCCTGCTTCTTGGTTGGACTGGATGGCCCATGAGGTCTCTTCCAATTCTTTGATTCTATGATTCTTTGATGGAGCTAATGCCAAACCCTTGCCGTAATCCATGTGGGAGTTGCAATTGCTATTTATTATCGAGCAGGATATTTGCAAATAAATTTTACATGGTGCAATGTGTGTGCCCATTAATTGTAAACTGTGGGGATTGACTCAATGTTCCTCTATGGATCACTTCAGCAAAAATAGCACCTTTCCAACTGAATTGGGTTGACCTGACCAAGGAGTCACCATGTCCTCGGGCAACAAATCTGACTCAATGGCTAATAATCCAGTCTTTGCATTCATCAGTCTCCTGTACTATTTGGGACACACCTAGTACTGTGTTTTCCCCTTTGATTTTACTCTGGGTGGCGATTTGTTTGGCTTATTTGTTTTGGCTTCAGTTGCATAGATGCCAACCCCAGGATTATGTAAGTGGTTAAGATGCTCACACCGTGAATGTTTCCATGAGCCTTCTCCTTCGTTGCTTGCTTCTCTTCTATTGTTGCAGGGACAGTGTGAAGTAATCCTCTCCTGTCCCAGTTTCTTAACTGTCAAAGGCTTTCATGGTCGGAATCTCTGGGTTGCTATGAGTTTTTCGGGCTGTATAGCCATGTTCCAGTAGCATTTTCTCCTGATGTTTTGCCTGCATCTACACAACAAGACTTAATGCCAAGGGGAAACCTTTTGCCTTACCTTACAACTGACCATATAATGTAGTTTCAAGCTACGTTATATGGCAGTGTTGTTGGGGTCGTGATCAGGATTTCAGTCCAAAAAACTCTCAGCAACCCAGTTCAGACTTGATTCGCTCTTGGGTGCATTTGCTTGTCTGTTTGGCTATCCATAGTTATCTACAGAACTCTTTTTCCAGTGCCACATTTCAAATGCACATTTTTGTGACTGTCAAATGCGTTTTTGTGACTGTCCACAACCATACATAAGAAGGCCGAATGAAAAGTAATGCCTCCACCTTCGTCACTTGGGTTTGGATGGGGATATTGTCATAAATCAAACACAGAAATAATCCTTAGAATGTGCTCTTTAACTACCACTGTTCACTTTTCCACATAATCACCAGACAATTGGGTACATTTCTGCCAACGATGAACAAGTTTTCTGAAGCCATCACGGAAGAAGTCTGTGCGCATCAGCATCCTGGGTACCCATCATGCACAGATCTTCCAGTAGCCAAGCAAAGCAATAATGTGACCCACATAGAATCATAGAATCAAAGAGTTGGAAGAGACCTCATGGGCCATCCAGTCCAACCCCATTCTGCTAAG